AAGAGTCGGATATGACTGAAACAACTGAACAGCAACAATTTCAATAATTGATGTCTTAGGTAATCCTATATATTTTATTTCATGCATTTCAAACTATTATTCTGAGAAGGATCTCTAGGCTTTTCCAGGCTGAGAGAGAGATCTATGACATAAAAAGGTTAAGAACTCTTGTCCTAAAGCATTTACTGTGTGGATCACTCATTTAGCAGATGTTTTATGCTTTCATCTCCTCATCTAGACTATAAGCTCCTTGAGGGAGCAACATTTTTTGTTTCTTCTTTGAAATGGTGGTTCTAATGCTTTATCACTGGTAGGATTCTCAATCAAGTCCTCTTATAGAACCTCAGGAGATAATGGATTTGGGGAGAAGGGGAGAGTGTGATGAAGAGGTCCTTTCCTTCTCTCAATGCTTGACTGGTCTCTGTCTTACCTTGATCTGGATTACCATCTTCTGTGGGACACCATGTGGTATAGGGGAAGGTGTACTGGATGGGGAGTTAGAAGGCCTTTACTTGAATCTGGATGGCTCCTTACTACTCCTGGGACCTTGGCCAAGTCACTGAATTTTTCTAGGTCTGTAAAATAAAGGGACTAGACCATGTGTTCTCCCTCCCACTTCTACATCCTGTGAATTTCTCCTTGTGCTACATGCCCTGCTATCACATTTGAGGAAAGGACATTGATCAAGCTGGAGTATGTGCAAAGGAAAGGGGCTAGGAGGTTGAGAGGACTGGAAACTGGCCTACAAGGATCAGTTTGGGGCAGGGAGGTGGTGTAGTGGATAGAGCACCAGCCCAGGAGTCAGGAGGACCTAAGTTCAAATCTGGCCTCAGACACTTGATACTTACTAGTTGTGTGACCCTGGGCAGGTCACTTAACCCTGATTGTCTTGCCCCCCCCCCCCAAAAAAAAGGTTGAATAAAAAAGGATCAGTTTGAGGAACTGGGAGAAGAGGAAAGGGAAAAGTTGGAGGGGAAATGATCATAGGATTATATATTAAGTACTGAAAGGGACCCTAGGGGTCATCTAATGCAACCCCCTCATTTTACAGATAAGTCTCTTGTGAAGTGATCTGCCCAAGGTCACACAACTAGTAAGTAGTAAAGGCAAAATTTGAACACAGATTCTCAGACTCCTAATCCACTTCTCTTTCTTCTGAACCACCAACTCTGATCACTGTCTCCACGTATTTAAGAGTTTGCAGGATAAAATCATAGGCTTTATAGTTGGAAAAGACCTTAGATATCATTTAATGCAATCCTTTTATTTTTCAGATCAGGAAATGTAGGGTTGAAGAAGCTATAATGGGGAAATGGGGTTTTATTGGTTTTGCTTGCTCCTCAGTGGATAAAAATTAGAGGCAAACAGATTAAAGATCAATATTGGGGGGTAATGTCCTAATTAGAACTGCCTGCGAGGAATGAGTTACCTGTCACAGAAGGTCTTCAAGTAGAAGCTGAATGACAGCATGTTCGGGTACTGGAGTAGGGTTTCCTGTTTGGTGTTAGGTTGAATAGACAGTCTCTGATATCTGCCTCCAATTCTGAAATTTTGTGATTCTATGATTCTACCTAGACCAGAAATGGGGCAATTCCTTCCAGCTAGTGCCATCACTTGCCTGGATCTCACCCTATGGTAGAGATTATTCAGGGTGAATTTTAAAAAGATAAGAAAAAAACCCCAAAAGGTCATTGCATTGGGCTTTTAGATCTCTCCTGATGCACAGGTCTTGTCTGATACATTCAGGACACTTTTCCAGTTGCTGAATCCTACTATGAGAAATGCCATGAATCCTGCTCCTCAACCCTGGCCTGACCTGGTACTTCATCTGGCCCCCTCTTTCTCTGCTTTCACTTTGGGGTGAGGTTATGGTAAGATGTTCCAATCTGTCTCTCTGGGGAAAGTACCCCTCTAGGTTGGCTGGTCTGCCTGGGAGGACAATCAGGAGGTGAAATTGGAGGACAGGCAGTTTAGACATGAGTCATAATGAGAATGGATGGTAACTGATGGCAGGAGGGGCTTCCGTCTCCTTCCCAAACAACAATTGAGTTTCTAAGCGATTTGCTTTGGCAGGGCACTGATCTTAACAGATGCCTGTAGGTACCTTGAGAGAGATTGGTTTTGATGGAAGCCAGAATGGATATTAATGTTTATTTGCTGTGGCTAGTGCTATTCACATGATAACTGCTTTTTCTGAGGGTTTTTTTCTTTATCATGCCAAAGCTTCAGATCCCAGCCCCTGAGTGGAAGATTGGTGTCATATCAGAGTTCCTTATTGACTTCTCTTGTAACCTTCCTGATACTAACTCAGTTGAAACTAACCGCCTCCCAGCCCAAATCCTGAATGACTTCCCCCGAGATCAGTCCCAAGTCTGATAGAGAGGGGAAGATCCATCTCTTCTGCTGGTGTCTCAGTCTTTTATTAAGACTGTCCTAACCCTTAACTCCGATTTCTGGGCTACAACAGCAGCTTTTTCTTCTATGCCTCACTCCTAGGAATCTCTGAAGGCAGAGATACACCATAACTCAGTTCCCTCTGCGGACCCAGAGAACAAAAGAGCTTTCAACTTCCAGACGCGTACCGAGTGCATTCAGAAGCTCTCCTTTGGAGCCTGAAGACGTGATTGGTGACGTGTTTGTCTTTTAACTCTTCTGAGAAGTCTAATATTCTGTATCACTAGCTCTAATGACCTGCCCTCTATCAAACTCTACTTCTCCCTACCCGCCCCCTTTCTTTTCCACTGATGGCACAGGAATGATCTCTTCCTTTCAGCTTTCACTGACTCTTCACCATCCCTCCCCCTATCACTCTCTTATTCCCCTGGCAAAACCCCCTTCTTTCTTCTTTTTGGTCACTTATTTTATTTGAAGCCAAATTTCTCCCTAGATGTCTCTTGGCTTAGAAATCAATACTTTAAAAATAGTCAACATCAACTTCCTCTTAGAGGAAAGATGTGTTGTGGTTGGTGGCTCTGTGCATCCATCATAGACATCTTTCCTAGAAATCAAAGACTGCCCCTGCACTCACAGCATGACCAGGCAAATGGGCCTAATTAGTTGACCCAAATTTGGACCCATATTTTACCAGAACTTGGAAGGCTAGAGAAAGCCTGGTTTGAGCTATTCATTTTCCCATTGCTGCTGTGATCCCCAACTTTGGCCAACTCATATTCCTCCCTATTCTTTACCTCGAAGTCATGGGGATCTCGCTGAGGTTCAGGAACCAATTAGCTTTGGAGATTGGCCCTTTACAAGATGGTTACTGTCCACTAAGATTCTAAGACATGGTTTCCCAACCATAATCTTCCAATGAATCTTAAAGTCTTATCCAACTGATGTTTAAGCTGGTTGCTGCCATCATATGCCCCTTTCCATGGCTTACTGAGTATCCTAGCTGGAAGGGGAAAGCTGTATCAATGGACATGGTGCATTTGCATGCACTGGAGAGAGTAAGATGATAATTTTTACTTCAAAGTAAAAGGATATTTGCTAATAATTATGTTATTTAAAGTACATTTGCATAGCTGAGAGAAATTATAGTAAAGCTATTTTAAATTATAAATTAAAATAATTTAAATATTGTAAATTTATTTTTAAAAATTACAAAGCTTTCCCTACTCCAATACATCTTCTACTTGGTTGTCAAAGTGATCTTCCTAAAGCACAGGGTCTGACAATCTCTCTCTCTCCCTCTCTCAATCTCTCTCTCTTTCTTTCTCTGTCTCTCAATCTTTCTCTCTCTCAATCTCTCTCTCTCTCTCTCTCTCTCTCTCACACACACACACACACACACACACACATACACACACACACACACACACACACACACACACCACATGGATCCCCTCCAGGATTAAATATAAAATCCTCTGTTTAAAATCCACAGCCTTTCATAACCTTCCCCTCCACCTTTATAGTCTTCCCTTCCCTTCTACCTTTTTTTTTTGGAATTGAGTTCTTTATTACCCCAGGGGTCTTTTCCATTAAAAGGTAAAACAAGGTACAGGAACAAGGAAAAGAAACCAAAGCAAAAACACAAGTGGTGTTAGGGCTCCCAAGAGTCACCGAGCTAGTCAATGTTGCGGAAGCTCCCAGATGGTGCAGAGCACCCAGGTACTCTGAGATCCACGATGTAACACTGGCTTCTTTGCTATTTATTCTCTGAACATGACACTCCATTTCCTGACTCAAGGCATTTTCTGTGGCTGCCCCTATGCCAGGAATGCTCCCCCTTCTCGTCTCTTCCTCCTAGCTTCCTACCTTCCTTCAAGTCCCATCTAAAATCCTGCCTTTCAGGGGCAGTTAGGTGGCACAGTAAATAGAGTGCCTGGTCTGGAATCAGGAAGATTCATCATCCTGAGTTCAAATTTGGCCTTAGACACTTACTAGCTGTGCAAGTCACTTAACCCTGTTAAAAGTAAATAAATATAACCCCATCTTTTACAAGAAGTCTTTCCTGGTTGCTCTTTAATTCTAGTATTTTCCCTCTATTGATTTTCTCCAATTTTTCCTGAATTTAGCTTGTTTGTATATAGGTGTTTACATGTTGTCTCTCCCATTAGACTGTAAGCTCTTTGGGAGCAGGGACTATCTTTTGCCTTTGTATCCCCAGCCCTCAGCACAGTACCTGGCACGTAATAGGCACTTAATAAAGGTTTATTTACTGCTGATCGACACTTCAATATTCTTTCTATCATCCCCCTTTCCTCTATTCAGCATTTGGAAAACAGACAAGTACAGACTCATCTCACTAAAAATAATAGCCGCCCACTCAAGGCAAGTAATTTGTTGTGCCAGAGGAATAAGGAAGGACATGGATTCTTGTCTCTGACACAAGGGTGATCCTTGTTTTTATTACCTTAGGGAGAATGGGCTGGTCGTAGAAGGCTGTAGGCTGGCTTGTCGTGAATTTATCTGCAAGCTTTCCTTAGTCATATCTCAGACACGTCACGGACCACAGGGAACTAGACAGTGTTTATGTCTGGGGCAGGGGGACTCACCGTCCATCCCCCTCCATCAGTGCTCATGTCGCAGTAGACCTGGAAGCCTGAGGGGTAATGAGTGGGGAAAACAGAATAGATCCCGTCTTCCTGCTGGCCGCTGGCATAGATGTCCAGACAATCTCTTGGGCGAGAGCCTGGAAGAAGAGATGGAGCCAGAAGCATTAGGATGGGGAGAAAAATAACTGGGCAAGTTAGGAAGTTGTATGACATGGCTTCCTGTCTGGTCCATTGCATTCTCTAGAAAGCAACTAAACCTTGTCTGGGGCTGTGCCTCCTTCTGTCAGTGTGGCAGTCTTTCTGTCTTGGGGATTGGGGCAGAGGTGTGTGTGTGTGTGTGTGTGTGTGTGTGTGTGTGTGTGTGTGTGTGAAGAACCAAGAAGACAAGATTGAGTAATCTGGTGCATGGAACTGAGGCTCAAAGAGTGAATGGTTTTCAGGGGCAGGGAAGATTAGTTCCCCTGGAAAGCAGTTCTCAGCCCTTTGTCCTTGTTATAGTGCTATGCAGCTGCTGTTACATCTGGGGAATGAGAGCTGGTGTGTCCTCTGGGACAGTCAGTCAGTAAACATTTTCAGTCGTTTTTCAGTTGTGTCCAACTCTTCATGACCCCATTTGGAGTTTTTTTCAGCAAAAATACTGGAGTGGTTTGTCATTTCCTTCTCCAGCTCATTTTATAAATGAGGAAACTGAGGCAAACAAGGTTAAGTGACTTGTCCAGGGTCATACAGCTAGCAAGAGTCTGAGGTCAGATTTGAACTCAGGAAGATGAATCTTTCTAACTCCAGGTGCTTTATCCATCACACCACCTAGCTGTCCATAGTAAACATTTATAAAGTGCTTACCACTGTGCTAAACACTGGGCATTCAAAGAAAAGCAAAAAGACAGTCTCTGCCCTCAATTTGCTCCTAGTCTAACGTGGAATGCAGATTGGGGAGACGAGGCCTGATAGGCACAGGAAAGAATAAGCTTACTCACCATTTGAACAGCCCCTTGGCCTGGCCCCCCTGGAAGGGACCTTTTGCAGGTCAGCCTTGATTCGAGGCCGTGCAGCCCCTCGATCTTTCTGCAGAGTGTCCAGGACGTCACTGACGGAGCTCACCAGGTGGGCCATGTTGCTCTGGCTCTCTGACAGGAGCTGTAGCACCGGGGTGGGAAGGGAAGGAAGGATACCAATTCAGAACAGGCAGGAAGCCCATAACACGATCTCTTAGGCAGGGCGCCTGGTGGAAAGGGCAAACGGCATGTGGAGTCAGAGGACCTGGGCTAGAACGTCGCCTCTGCCTGGAGGATCTCAATCTCTCTGAACTTCAGTTTCCTCACCTGAAGGACCTGGCCACCTCCCAGCTCAAAAGCAAAGATCCCATGATCCCTCCTCATGTTCTCTTAGAGTGCCTCTCTTTTAGGCTTAGCCTGAGATCTAGGACTCTTCATTTGTAGATGGGGAAATCGAGGCCCAGAGAGGTTCAGTGATTTGCCCAAGGTCACACAGGTAAATAAGTAGGAGTAGAATTAGAAACTTCCATCTTTTAACCCTGAATTTGGTGCTTTATCAGGCTACCTTGCATCATATTTATTTGTACACATGTTGTATCCCTCTATTAGACTGTAAGAAAAGGCAAAGGAAACGGCAAATCATTCAGACATCTTTGCCAAGAAAACCCCAAATGGGGTCATGAAGAAATGGACCCGACTGAACAACAACAACAGCAACAACATTAGACTGTAAGCTTACTGAAGGCTGGTACTGTTCCCTTTTATTTTTTTCCATCTTTAGATCCAAGTACCCAGAATAAGGACTTAATACAGAAGGTGCTTAACAAATGTTCAATTGCACAAGAGCCAATGGCTTTCCTCACCCTTCCTAAACTTTGCTGTCCTACTCTATCCCAATTAATTAACCAATAAGCATTTATTAAGTACCTACTCTTCACCACCTTCCTAGGCACTGGAGATACTGGGCAAAAGCAAAAGTCTCGGCCTTCAAGGAGCTTACATTCTATCAGGAAAATCAACATATTAATGTATGTCCCTGGTGCATCCCTGATGGTATCAAGCCCTTTTACTAAAGGCCCTATGAGAAAGCAGGAAAATCCCCAGACTACTGTTCAGAATTATAGATCTAGCATTAGAAGGGGTCTCTGAGGTCATCTAGCCCAACCTCCTCATTTTACAGATGAGGGAACTGAGGCCTGGAAAGGTTAAGTGACTTGCCTAAAGTCATAGGTTGTAAGCTCCAGAGGGGAGATTTGAACCCAGGTTCTGTGACTCCAGCCTCAAGGCTCTTTCCTCTTCACCACATTGCCTTTTATTATAAATGTGAAGTTAGGTTCAAGGGACAGGCAGAGAGGCAAAGTATTGATCTGTGGTTATAACTGAGAAAGGGCCATACTAAGCCTTTGGCCAGATTACTTCAGGAATCAGAGCCTGGAGTCTCAGGATACTTGTACGACCCTCTGGACTTTTCAAAATGCTTTCCTATTTATTAATTCATTGAAGTCTCACAACATACGCAGGAAGGAAAGAGGCTTTGTCACTAATGCACTGTGTGATGTTGGGCAGGTCCCTTCTCCTCTCTAGGACAAACATTATTATGCCCATGTTACAGATAGAGAAACTGAGGCCTAGATAGGGGAAAGGACTTGCCTAAACTTCCATAGTAAATTAATGGCAGGGCTAAAAATCTGAATAAAGGTCCCTTGACTCTCCTTCTGGGGTTCCTTCCACTATTCCATGTATAGTATAATAAATAATAGATGTAGTAGTTTGTAAACCGTAATGTTTACATGGCTGAGGGCAAGTCACTTAACTTGTCAGTATACCAGATAACCCTCTAAGAGTAAGTTGCCTGATCAGTATAAAAGGAGGGAGCTTCCATCCCTGGAGTTTGCCCAGCCAATGAAATCACAGATCTGAACAAGAAAATAATCTTATAGCTCTGAAATAAGTGAGCCATTGTTATTGTTATGAATGATACCCACCCTACCACTTTACCTCTATGACCTTGGGCAATTCACTCAACTCTTCTGGACCTCACCTTCCTCATCTGTGAAATGGAAGGATGGGGACAGACCAGATGACTTCTATGGTAACTGGCTGTCTATGATCCCATGGTACTTTGATGGTTATAATTATTCCTAGCAAAGAGAAAACTTCTTCTTTCCATGGCATTTCTTCAAATGCCTTTGCCCCTGTCTCTAACTCATACTGTATGACCTTGGGTGAGTCCTTTTGCTCCATTGGGCCTCAGTTTCCTCCTCTGTAAAGTGAGGAAGAGGATTTGCACTAGCTGGTCTCTGAGTTTTCTTTCCAGACCTAGGTCTGTGATTCTACGACCAACAGTGGCATTGAATAGACTTAGGAAGCCTAGTTTTTGTTTTCTATTCTTCTGGCCAGAGAAGGCTACAACCCACTTGACAGAACCGTAAGTACAGTCTCAGACCTCAATTCTGAATGAGGACGAAGAAATCATAATAAAACCTCAACCTGCTGGGGAGTTCAAGGGGAGCTCTCCACATTTTCAGACTGGTGTCGGTCATTTGGAAGATAATAGCTTACTTGAGAAAGGGAAGTAGAAATGTACTTGGGCTTGAAAATTTTTTTTAATGTTTCTCTAGTTTGTCCAAAGGCAATAAGACCACAATTCTTTCTGTTCCCCTGCTGATTTAACCTTAGTGAAGGAGGTTATTCAGCACTGTGCTTAGCATTAAGGGGACACACAGAACCATGTGGAAGAAAGGGAGGAGGAAGTGGAGAGAGGCAGCCTGATTCCTCATTGTGTTTTGTGGCTGTGTCTTGGAGACTGGCCTCCTCTGAAGATGCCAGTGGTGAGGGCCGCATAGGAAAAGGGCAAGAGTTCAGGCTGAGGGAGTCGGGAAAAGCTTAGAAAAGTTGGCCAGCTGCCTTTGCAAATGGATAGCTGGGGGATGGTGGGCAAGGAGACAGGCTGTTGGCTGAAAACCAACTCACTTGGGTTAATGTCTACACCTGGTTATTGGCATGGCTGTTAACGAGGCCTTTGTTATGAAGAGTAACATCAGGTATGTTTTGCCTTAAAATTTACAAAGCTCCCTACATTCGCTCTTTTTTCACCCTCACAAGAATTCTGTGGAGATGCTACCTGCCCATTTTGCAGATGAGGAAATCGAGGCTCATAAAAATTAAGTGATTTGTCCCTGCTCACACAGATAGTAAGTGTCAGAGGTAGTATCTGAACCCAGAACTGTCTGAGTGTTGTCCTCGGAGTCAAGTCAATAAGCATTCATTAAACACTTGCTGTGCGCCAGACAACGTACTAAGTATTTCTCATACAGAAAAAAGCAAAAACAGTCTTTGTCCTTGAGGAGCTCACATTCTGATGTGGGTGGGGTGGGACAAAATATATGTAAATAGGCATGAACAGATCCATGCAGAATAGATGAAAAGGAATCTCAGAAGGGAAAGAACTGGCAGCTGGGGTGACTGGGAAAGGGTTCCTGCTGAACATAGGATTCAGTTTCCAGAGAAGGCCAGAAAACTAAGAGTTAGAAGTGAGGCGGGATAGTATACTCGACGTGGGGGAGAGCCAATGCGAATGGAGATAATGACAAACATGCCAGTGTTGCTGGGCCAGAGTTTGTGGAGCGGAGTTAGGAAGACTGGAAATGTGGAAAGGAACCGGGTTATGGAAAGTTTTAAATGTCAACCAGAAAATGTTATATTTGAACCAAAAGATACTAGGGAGCCACTGGGGTTCTTGAGTGGTAGAGGGAGTGAAGGAGAGAGTAACATGGTCAGACCTATACTTTAGAAAAATCCCTTTGGTGGCTTATGGGGAGGATGGATTAGAGTTGGGGATAACCACAGCAGGGCGGCCAGTTAGAAGGTTGTTGCAATAGTCCAGGTATGAGGTGATGACGACCTGGGCTGGACTGAGTACTATGTGAGTAAAGAGAAGGAATCAGGTGTGAGACATGTTGTGAAGCTGGAAATGACCAGATTGGGCAACAGGAGTGAAGAGACACTGGCGGTATGACCTTGAACAAGTCACTTAACTTCAGTTTCCCCAGCTGTAAAATGGGGGTCACAGTACACAACCTATCAATGCCCTAGGCAACTTTCCAAGACTCAAATTGCAGAGAAGATGGTGGAGCTGTGTTGGTAAAGGAAGTTCCTCACCTAGAACTTCCCGTTACCAATGGAATTATACATGTCTGGCCAAGAAACAGCCAAACAAAAATACTTGTAGTATTTTTGACCAAGGTTGTTTGGGGGTTTAAATGAGATGGACTTGGAAAGTGATCAGCAAATCTTAAAGGACCTCATAAATGTCAATGATTATTAACATTATTAGTTAAAGTTAAGGCCTGTAGGGTCTGACGGTCAGACCCTACTAGGAAGAGCAGAATATATACAATTAACATATGCCTGTGACATTCATATCCTTTCTCTAACAAGCAGTAATGATTTAATGAGCTAAGGAGGAGCTCACAAACATGGGCTAGTGAGCTGTATACAATTTTGTTGCTGAATCATTTTTCAGTCCCATCCGACTCTTTATGACCCTATTTGGGGTTTTCTTGGTAAAGATACTGGAGTGGTTTGCCATTTCCTTTGCCAGCTCATTTTACAGATAAGAAACTGAGGCAAACAGGGTTAAGTGATTTGCCCAGGTCACACAACTAGCTTTAAAATGTCTGAGGCCAGATTTGACCTCAGGAAGATATGTCTTCCTGACTCCAGGCCTGGCACTCTATCCACCATGCCACCTAGATGCCCTGTTGTATACAATGCTGTTTTGCCAAAATTAAAAAATGATCTATGTGTTAATTTGTGTTAATAAAATAATAATAATAATAAATAAAAATAATAATAATAAAACATCTATGTGATGACTTATTTCATTAATAGGCAAAGATCTTTCTGAACCTTGGCTTCATCAAGCTGCCTGCTCTTCCTGGGCCTTGGTTTTCTCATCTACAAAATGAGAAAACTGGACAAGACAGATTATCCCTAACATCCTCTCTGTGTCAGAAACCTACAATACTATAGCCCTTGTATGGAGTAGAGCTGAGGCTTAATGCTCTCAGGAATGCAGAGGTGAGTGGGGAAGGGATCCCAGGTGATCAGGGAGGAAGGGGATCCGCTTTGGCCTGTAGTTTCCTCATCTGTAAAATTAGAGAGTCAGACTAGCCAGGGGTTCTTAGCTTAGGAGCCATGAAAGTCGTTGGCTTTTATTTCTCTGTTTGTTTTTAATTTCAATAACTATATTTAAATATAATTTGTTTCCTTTGTAATTTTACTTCATTTTAAAACATTTTGAGAAGGAGTTCCATTGTTGTTGTTGAGTTGTT